ATATAAGGAATGGGCATGCCCAGAGGAAAGGCCCTATGAGGAGGCAGTGAGAAGGCAGCCATCTGCAAGCCAAGGAGAGAGGCCTCAGGAGACCCAAACCTGGGACCCCTTAGGCTTGGGCTTGCAGCCTACAGAACTGTGAGAAACATATGTCTGTTGTCTAGGCACCCCGGTCTATGGTCTTTGATTACGGCAGCCCCAAAACACTAATGCAGTGAGTTACCTCAACAGCTACTGATGCAGGATGTGCTGGGAAGGGACAAAGCAGATGCTGCCTGTTCCCCATGCATGCAGCACTTGTCCAGGTGGGTTGTATAACTGAACAGTGTCCCCCAGAATTCTTGTCCACCTGGAAATAGGGTCCTTGCCAATGTATTAGTGGATGATCTCAAGCTAAAAATCATCCTGTATTTAGAGCAGGCCATAAATTGAATGACTGGTGTCTTTCTAAGAGAAAGAAGAGGACAATTTGGACAGACACACTGAGAAGAGGCCACGTCAAAATAGAGGCAGAGATTGGAGGGATGCAGCCACAAGCTGAAGAATGTCTGGGACCACCAGAAGCTGGAAGAGGCAAGGAAGATTTCTCCCCTAGAGGCTTCAGAGGGAGTACAGCCCTAGCAGCACCTTGATTTAAGACTGAAGACCTCCAGAAAAATGAGAGGGTAAGTTCCTGTTGTAAGCGACTCCATCTGTGCTAATTTGTTACAGCAGCCACAGGAAACTAATACAGGGGAAGATGTGCCTCTGAACAGCCCATAAGACCATGAGGGAGGAAAGATAGGGACTTTGCCCAGCTTCCTCCTATGTCCTGTTTTCCCCTAGGGGATCGCTGCCCTGAATCCGTTTGCCTCCTGTTGCCACTTTGGCAACTACATGTGAAACGTGTTGTGTGTTTGAGATGTGTGTGTATTTTTGCACAGAGAAGCAAAGATCACAGTTTGATAACACATCCTATGGGGAATGAAAGATGTGCAACCTCCATGGGGAGAATCTAGCAATATAGATAGGTATCTTTACCTATAGCAATATCTATTGCTGAACTGACACACCACAAGCACCTAGCAATTTATTCAATACACATAAAACAAAAGGTGAACTTAGCTTTTTCACCACAGCACTGTCTGTGTGAGCAAAAGACTGGAAACAACCTAAATGTCCCTCAGTAGGGGACCAGTTAAATAAACAGGGATGAGATAAATTCAGCAGAAATATGAACAGGACCAGAGGTGACCAGAAGAACATGAGTACCTTAGCTCATTCCCAACCCTAACCTGACCCTGAGAACCTACAGGGAATGGACCTGGGGCTCAAGTCAGTCTTTTCTACATTCTAATGGGCAGAGAGAGACCCCAAATAGTATTCTGGAACATGTGAACACTGAAGTCAATTTTTATGTTTTAACATGGAAAGATGTCCATAATATACTATTAAGTGAGGAAAAAAAGTCCCCGGATAGGCATGACCTCATTTCCAACTAAAATTTAAATACCATGTATATGTGTTAGTATATGTATAGAAAAAAAAACTGGAAGAGAAGAATACACACCAAGCAATTAAAGCAGTTTGTCTTGCCTACCACTTGCTTGGTGCTGAGAACTTTCAGATAAATAAGAAATTTGAATGTCAGTTCCATGGAGGAAGACAAGTTTGCTGTTTTGCCAAGTGTCTGGCACATAGTACATACTCAGTAAATATGTATGGAAAGGAAGGGAAAGAGGGAGGGAGGGATGCTCAGCCTAGCCTGGATACAGATGTGTGAGCAGATGACTTCTGAGAAGGGACAGTGCAGAGAACTCTGGGAGAAAAGACCGCAGAGCTGGAGGGGTTTTGCATAAACGATCTCTCCTCCTTAGGTCACCAGCCCACTTAGAAGAGAAATCAGTTACAAAGCCATAGCTGTGCAGCCCATTTTCAAACTCAGGTGTACCGAGCTCCAGGGAGCTCTCTCCTTTCAGGATGCTGCTTGGCCCGGTTAATGAGAACCAGATGACCCAGGCTGAGTCAGGGGACAGGAGTGCTGGTAATGAATACTTCCAAACTGGATCTTAGAGAGCCCAGCAACTCCTAGAAAACAACGCACTTTGTCAATTTCCAGGAGAGCTTGGCTTCAAACAACTCAAAGGTGACACCCAATGTCACTATGGGGAACTACACAGAAATCCTAAATAGTGGTTCTGGAAGAGGAAGCAATGAGAACTCTTGCCTTTCACTGTCTTCCATTTCTGCTGCTGTTCTCAGAAAGGCTGTGCTAAACAGGGAGAGCCTGCCAGGACTTCATGAGAAGATCCTCTGGCTCAGCCAGGAGAGATTTGAGCACATTCTTGGGGTGACTATATCTTTCCTCGAATAAGCTGTTGGCGATTTCATTACTGGGTTCTTCTCGATTCCTTTCCAATAGTATTTGCTTAATTTCCATTGCATTTAAACAGCAGAAGCCTCAAGAGCGGATGCCGATTCAGACTAAAAACTTTCCTGAGACCAACAGTTGTGGGGGTCCCAGACACATGCCTTCATGTCCCTTAGCTTCAGTTTTCTCACTTATGTGGAGATGATGATTACCTATTTTGCGATGTTACCGTGTAGATTAAACGAGGTCACCATTTGAGATTAAATGTACCAATTACAAAATGGGCAATGGATCTGAATAGACATCTCTCAAAGGAAGATGTGTAAATGGTCAATGAGCACATGAAAAGATGTCCCACATCACTTGCCGTCAGAGAACTGCAAATCAAAACCACAAAGAGATACCACTTCAGATCTACTAGGATGGCCATAAAAAATAAAGAAACAAACAACAATAAAATAAAACAGCAAGCGACATGGCCAAGTCTAGAGAATAGGCATTGGGAGGAAATGGGGAGTGACTGCTCATGAGTAAGAGGTCTTTTGGAGATGAAGAAAATGTTCTAAAATTGATTGCAGTGATGGTTACCCAACTCTAAAAAATGGTTCACTTTAAATGGGTGAACTGTATGGAATGTGAATTATATCTCAAAAGAGCTGCTTTTAAACAGTGTACAAATAAATCTTATGATCTTTTTACCTTGTATTTGTCACATAGCTTATACACATCAAGTAATTCTTATGAAGACACACATCACAGTTTTCAGTCTGGGAAAGCAGAATGGAGTGGACCAGGTTCCAGGGCAGACACCAGTAGAAAAACTAAGGTCCCACCAATGAATGACCCAGCTCATTCCAGCTTTGTGCCACCCCACAGTGAGTTACTTGAGAGCTGGGGGGCATGGGCAGAGCCTATCTGGACATGTAGTGGTAGGTCTCCTTCTAGATACTTCAGTTAAATTGCTCACAGCCTAATTTTATTGCTGTCGGCCGTGGTGTTTTCCTGTCATGATGAATGATCTGCATGGTTCCTGCTTTCAAGGAACAGCTGACACAGTGTGTGATGTAGTAGCTGATTTCTTGTTCTTTGGACCATCCAGCCATGTTTCTAACAGATACAGTTTCTCCAGCGCTCTGGGAAATTGGAGGAGGGGGACCTGCCTTCACCCCCACCTCCATTCCTCTAAACCATCAATTTGCCTTCCAGACCCTAACCTAAGCTAAACATTCTGTACCTTCTCCAAAGTCCAAATGAAACTTACCAACACATCAGTATCTTTGTCTGCTCAGGTTGCTGTAACAAAATACCACAGACTGGGTGTCTTATAAACAACAGAAATTTATTGCTCACCATTCTGGAAGCTGAGAGTCCAAGATCAGGGTGCCAGCATGTTCAAGTGAAAGCCCTCTTCGGGGTTGCAAACTTTGCTGTGTCCTCACATAGCAGAAAGAGAAGGGATCCCTGTGGAGTCTCTTTTATCTTCATCTTCTCAGTACGTCCTCTCTACCTCCCACAGCAGCATTGACCTCACTGCCTGGGTCCTTGTGTACTATGTAAATATTATTGTCTCCCCACCAAAATGACGAGCAATCTGAAGGCAGAAGAGACTGTTTATTTTTCTTGCACTCTTCTGCATCAATGTTACAAACCAAAATTTTGGGCACATGGAATGGTAGGCTGAATGATGGCCCTCCAAAGATGTCCACAGTTTAATCCCTGGAAATCTGCGAATGTCACTTTACATGGCAAACAGGACTTGGCCAGTGAGTTTGTGCATTGAAATAAAGATCTGGAGATGAAGAGATTATCACGGGCTATCCAGATGGGTCTGATGCAATCACAAGGGTATGTATAAGAGGGAGACAAGAGGAGAGATGACAACCTGAGCAGAGGTTGGAGTGCTGTGGGGCCATAAGCCAAGGAATGTGGGCAGCCTTCAGAAGCTAGAAAAGGCAAAGAAACAGATTCTTATTTAAAGCCTCCAGAAGGAATGCATCCCTGCTGACTCATTTTGGGCTTCCGACCCCCAGAGCTGTAAGAGAAGAAAGGTGATTGTTTTAAACCACTTTGTGGTAATTCCTCACAGCTGCACTGGGAAGTGTACATGGTACCACTGTCCTCTTCCTCCTCCTCCTCCTCCTCTCATGGTGAGGGGTGATTGAGTTTACTGATGTAAGTCATAAAACAATGGAAGGTACTGTTATTGCCCCCATTTTATAGATGAGGAAACTGAGGTTCAGAGAGGTGACAGAATGGAAGGGGTTTTTCTGGTTGCAAACAGCAGAAACTGACTCTGGCTAAGGCAAGCAAGTAAGGGGGATAATGAATCATTGACAACTACCATCCAGGTAACATGAGAATTTTCCTCCTGTGACATTTTGATCTCCCAATACACTTCTCTTATGAACTTCCAGTCTTTCATTCATGAAATATTTGTTGAGAGCCTACTATGTGCCAGGCCCTGGATTAAGTGCTGGGTATAGAAAGTTGAACCAAAAACTAGGCACAATTCCTGCTTGTGTGATGCTCACAGCCAAGAGAGGAAGCACATTAATGATACCATCACCCTGAAAGCTGATACGGTGCAGTTTTGCTGAGCCCTCTGGATGCAAAATGCAGGCAGTGAGAAGGACAGGGGAGGGGCAGGGGAGCTGATGTGGGATCCACGTGGAGTTACTAAGTATTGAGAGTTGGAAGGGCAGGGCCTGCCTTCCCCTACTGGTGTCTTAGATGACAACAGAATTTTCTTTTTAAATTCGGGGTCCTTTTCTCCGTATTTAGTACTCCTACTAGAGGACAGAGGTGCAGCCATACCACCCAGAACTTCCTGCTGCTGAAACATTTTTTTCAATTATTTCTTTTATTGTGGTTAAATGTGTAACATAAAATGTGCTATTTTAGCCATTTTTAAGTGTACAGATCAACAACTTGAATTACATTCACAATGTTGTGCAGCCCTCATCACTATTTCCAAAAGTTTTTATCACCCCCAACAGAAACCATATGCTCATTAAATAATAACTCTCCATCCCCTCCTCCCAGCCCCTGGTTTACCTCTATTCTGCTTTGTCTCCATGAACTCGCCTCTTCTAGGTGCCTCACATAAGTCAGTTCATACAAAATGTATCCTTTTGTGACTGGTTTCTTTCACTCAGCATAATGCTTTCAAGGTTCATTCACATGGTGGCAGATATCACAACTTTATTCCTTTTTATGGTCGAATAATATTCCATCATATAGAGATACTACCCTAAGCCCACATCTACTCAGACACACAATGCTAGGCCTTCAGATGAGTCTCTTTTTTGGACATACCCCTATGCTTGTTTCTCCTGTGGTTTCCATACCTATAAAACAGGAACATTTCTTAAAGGCAAGACACCCCAGAGAAGCAAGTTCTGCAGCCAAAGCCAACCTGTGGAATCTTGGGGCCACAGCATAGGTGCAGCAGAAAAGGTGGAGATACCCAGAGACCCAGGTGTGTGTAATGCACCATGTGTCCTTCACCCAGCAGCTGAAATGCCACTTAGGAAAGACATTCAGAGATGCACAGTTCTCCAGCTTAGGGCTAAAGCAGGGGTGCTACTCCTCATGCTTCCTCAGGGAAGAGGCCATAGAAAAGACTAAAGCAGCCTGAACATTAGAAAAACAACACAGGTCTGAGGATAAATGGGAGGTAGTGGGGAGTGGTGGGGACTGTGGAGAACAGAGAGAACACACCCCCTCAGTTCCCATCTCCACCATATGGGAATGTGGCCCTCATGCTGCCAGAGCTCTCTGTTTGTTAAACAATGTTGGAAATCTGGATTTTTATGTGAAGTTGCCCAATTATAAATGCTGACAATTAATTTTAGAATAACCACAGTGCAACCTAACATTACATGCCACGTCTGGTGGCTGCATGTGATCTGAAGATAGCCAGACCCAAGAGCCCATTCTGTGAAAAGAGACAAGACCAACACTTCTCTCTCCTTAAGTCCAAAAGCTCATGGGAGAGGGTGAAATTGGACAGGTGGAATCCAGCCCCACCTCTGCATAATTTGCTGTGTGACCTCAAGCACGTCAGTTCCCCAGGATGGACCTCAGGACCCTCATCTGTGAAATGATGGGTGGACCAGATGTAATCTAAGATCTCTTTCATGCCTGATATGCTAATATTTGACCTCCTTGAAGACTCCTCCCCACCCCCCAAAGAGAACCCAGGGGACAGTGTATTTTGTTTAACTGTGACAAAATAACACAGTATCTAATTCACCATTAGTGGCATTTGGAACATTCATAACATTGTGCAACCATCACCACTATCTAGTTCCCACACATCTTTGTCACCCCAAGCGATCTGTCTTTCATATCCCTGAGTTTCAAGGGAAAGGGGGTTCAGATCTGATCCTGGAGTATGTGGCTCTGAGGAAACAATAAAACCGTTTGGGAGGTGGGTTGCAGGATGAAGGGAGGGACAGAGGGGCAATTCGTGCTGTATGAGAGAGAAGTTAGCTTCGGGTCTCCAAGGCACACGGCCGGTGGATGCCAAAGCAAAACCTGCTCAGCCCTCTGGTGGTCTCCGAGGGGCCCCCAGTATTAGCCAAGGACACACAGAATGCTCCTGCGGCCTTGGGCCCAGCTGTTATTTTCCACTCAAGGTGAAAGCATTTCATTCTAATACCCCACCTGCAGAGCTTCCAGCAGGAAAGCCCTCCCAGAATTTGCAACTCCTTCCCTTGCATACAAGAAGCTAGGATCAGAGGAAGGTACATCCATGAGTACCAGGGGACCCAGTTTGGAGACCCGTCGCCTGCACCCCTGAGCAGCTACAGTTTGAAGGCCCTGGATGGTGGAACAACAGTGGCATCTGATTCCTTCTCTCCTCATCAGGAAGGAAAGTGAGAGTGGCCAGCCGTCAACCTTTCTTCCTCTTCCCAGGGCTTTTGGGTCACCAGTTCCAGGCTGAACTGAGAAAATACGGACACCCGAACAAGTCTGTCCACAAGGTAAACTGTGCCCAGATGAAAGGCTGGCCCTTGTCTGAGACGATGTTATTGGTGTCTGTATGCTCTTCCTTTTGAGACATGATGCTCAGAGGAAGCCGGAGTTTTTTGTTTGGTGTGAGGACGTTGGGCCTCCTATGGCCAGGATCCTCACTGAACTTACACCACCAGATGGTGTAACTGGCCTGTTGCTAGGCTGCTGCTTCCACAGCTTTAGGCAATAATCTATTATTGTGCTATATAGAGAGCTCGGCCCCATGCTCTGGGCAGAGGCAGAGATGCTAGTGCTCGACCTACTGCCGGGAGAACAAGCCAGGTAATAAACCCTTTCATCCCAAAGAAAGGTTCTACCTACCGTCATTTCTTTGGTCACACTGAATCCATAGTGAACTTGCTGGGGGCTGAAACCCATTGGCAAGGCATTTGGTTTCGTTGTAATTTGGCAAAATAAAAAGTTGACTTTGTCCTTCACCCAAAGGTTTGGAAAATTCACAGATCTGTGAAATTCTAAATTCTGCTGAGACACTGGCTTGCTTGTGACGAAGAGCCAGCGCCCTGGGCAGGCAGGGATGTTCCATAGGAAGGATGAGAAGCCCCTGCTGCTGTGTTTAATTGTTCTGAAAGTTCAGAAAGTAAAGAGGATAGTATGACAAGCCCTCATACACCTCACCAGCACCTGGGTTACAACATTACCAAGTAAAGGCCAAGTTTGCTTCCTCTTTACCCCTACCTTCCTCCCCCGAAACAAAACCTAGACATCATGTCGTTCCAACTGTAAATACTTCAGTATGCATCTCTAGAAGGTAAGGACTCTTACTGAAAAAACATAATTGTCATATATTATACCAATAATTTATCAATATCATCAAATACTTGTTAGGGTTCAAATTTCCCCACCTCTCTCTTGGTTTGTTCACATCAGGATCCAAATGGGATCAGTACACTGTAACTGGTTGATATGTTTTTTAAGTGTCTTTTAATCTACAGATTCTCCCTCCATCCCTGGTGGTTTTTTTTTCTTTCCCAGCTTATCTGTTGAAGAACTAGGTCATTTGTCATTTGTCCTGGACAGCATCCTGTGTAAAGTCATTTTACATACACCACGGTCCTCCATATTTCATATTCATTTGTACTTAGGTCTCCAGGCTTCTTTACATTAGGTCCAATTTTTCAGCAAAAAATATTTCAAAAGTGGTGCCGAGTGTGCTTTCATCTGAGGCACATAATGACCAACTGTCTTTCTGTGGTGTCAGCAGCAGTTGATGCCAAGATTCACCAGTTCATGAGGAGTGCTTCTATATTTCTGTTTGGTGAGGTCATTGGGTGACCAGCTCCTCCTGGTTTTCCTGGGATTTGCCCACCGTTAGCACATTAAGTCCTGTGTCCCAAGAAACCACTCCAACCCAGGCAAATCAGGATTATTGGTAGTCCTAGTTGAGGTTCTATATTTTCAAGAAGTGATTCTTCCCATAACTTCTCCTTCCCTGGGCAGAAAACTCAGAGACAAGATCAGAGAATGCAGGGGGGCAAGAGCTGCAGTATCAAGCTGCCAGTCTTGGGTGCAGCTGACACCTTAGTGGTCTGCTCAGCTTACATTTCCACCTTCTTTGCATACCCTAATTTTTGATTAGGTAGTAATTCCTATTCACAGCCCATGTGCTACGTGGGAGCTGACCACAGCCCACCTCTACCAGGATGAGCTTTCCATTCCCAGAACTGCGGTCCCAAACAGTCAGTATACAGCTTGGGCCAATAAATCACAAAGGGTAGTTTGCCAGTGGCATTGGGAAAACATTTTCACATTCTTTTATTTATTTTTTCTTTAACATACTGTGAACCATTTAAAGCATACAATTCAATGGTTTTTAGTAAATTTGCTTAGTTGTACAATCATCCCCATAATACAGTTTAGAACATTTGTCACCCAGTTAAGATCACTCATGTCCATTTATAGTCCC